TTCTAATAGAATTATTATAAACTAACCTCTTTAGAGCTATATCTATAGTAAGCCTATCTAACTCTATAGCTATATAATAATAATCGCGTTTCTACTCTATCTCTTTACTTATAATTAGAGTTATAAGATCTACGAAGCCGCGAAATATATAGAGAGCGTAGCGTAAATAGAACTATCTATATCTATAGAGGAATAAGTCTATAGTTTCGAGGTAGCTAGAACTCTAAATAGATAGCTACTCTATTCGCGCCGCCTAAGGCTCTTATAGTCGCTAATAGCTATAGCTATACGTTTAAGTCGTAAGCAGTACACCTAATATTAGCTACATAATCGCCTAGGCGGGTTTAGGGGAGAGCTAATTAGCGCATCGCTAGTAATGTGAACACGGTAGTTCCCCCTCATCTAACTATAACAGGATGATTCATGCCTGGACGGATATGCACACCACGATCCTGTGGCTCGGCTCGCTTCCATGATAGTCTCATGGCAGAGCTGAGCAGGGCTGTCGGCCCGTGCCTTGTCGCTCATTGGGTCGACTTGATGCTCTATCGCCGCACAACCACCTTAGCGGCTATGCATGTGTTGTATACACCTGAAACGAAATTCCTGTGCCACCTGAGGGAGAGGAGGTACACGCTCGAGCTTGCCGGTTTGTTACAGCAAGTCCCACCTCGACTCTGCCTTGTGGTCAATGTCGGAAATCCCGCTACTTCCTCACCCTCCTCGTCTCTCCATCTCGAGCCAACCACTGCTGACATGGTATACTACAACAGAGGATCATTCTCCGGGAAACGTGGAGGGCCAAGTGACCCTGGACGCAGCGCAGGTAATTCCGCGCCTAGTCGACCGATATGCTTCTACCACAAGCGGGGAATATGTACGATGGAACTGATTCTATTCTTCCATCGATGAAGCGCTGACCGAATTTCTGTGTGTAGGCAAATATGGAAGATCCTGTACAAAGTCTCATGATCGAGACGAGAGATCGTTACAGCGAGACAAGAGGGTTGACGAAACGCTGGAGCAGCTGGAGGCTAGGGCTGGTTACAACTCCTGGAGAAGCGCTATTCGGCTACCACCTCAAGAGAATGCCAGCCTAGACAGTCAGTCGCTATGGGACGAGGCTCTTAATATCCGTATGTCGCCGTCGCCTTTCGATCATCCAGCCACCACACTAGGGAGGTCATGTACTGAATGATTGTTCTAGTCAACGGAGACGACCGAGACTGCAAGCAGAGTCTTCCGAGAGATTTGGAAAATGAAGATGACTACTTTGGTCGACAGCACATCCGAGCTCTTCTCTGCGGACGAGCGAAAGATGGTCGGTATCACAGTTTTGTTGAAGTCTCACGATCATTCTTCTTCGTTATGACGCACCCGGCCCTGGTTGACTGCCTTTCTGTGGAGACGTACGTGGGAAACTTGTACAGTTTTATTTCGGGAACGAATGGCACAAGAGCGGTTCCGTACTTTCAGCACGTCTGCGAGATCGCCGGGAGAATCCTCGCCGATCCCACCAGGAAGACGTCGGTGGAAACGATCAACTCTACCCTAGTTGGTCTCCTCGAAATCCTCTCGGAACTACTGCAACGCGAGCGAAGAGCCAGGTTCAACGAAAGTCTTCCGGAGCTACTCGATTCTTTGGAAAACTGTGCTGATACGATGCCGCAAGAGTCTCTAGTAACCTCCAGCTTGATTATCAGTCGAGTTGGAGACCTCCGCTCTGTCGTTGCGCGTGCAAATACCCTGCTGTCTACCGAAGGCGACGCGGGGCAACAGCACAAGTCGACCACAGTCGTCCAAACATCCTACCCGCGTGATATGATAATACCAGGAGGACGCCACGACAACGACAAGGTCGACATCACGACAATGAACATATTTCCCACCCTGGATGAGATCATGAGCGACGCCAAGGAGTTCTTGCCTTCGACCGATCCCGATCAGCCGCACTTTCTCGACAACAGGCGTGAGAGATACATAGACACGTACTTCCGTCTCCTTCGGCACGATGTTCTGGGCCAGCTGAAAAACGACATTGGCAGCTTCATGAAAACTATTGTGCGAGACCCGAAGCAGATGAAAAACCCAATGCCTGTGTTCAGTGACAGTCGTACCTACAGCTACAGCAATGCCTTCGTGAGCTACCTGCTCCTCAAAAAAAGTGGTGGCCTGCAAGCAAGAATTTCCTTTCCACAGCCTCGGTCTTTTCGCAAGAAACAAAGGCCTGATAAACGAAAGTGGTGGGAGGAGTCGAGACGTCTGGAAGAAGGCATACTGCTCTCCTTTCTCTGGATCCAGGAATCTAGTGTCCACCACCTGTTTCTCACCGTTGCCGAGAGAAACACCGACCCAAGAAGTGACAGCAGCCTAACTCACAACGAAAATATGGCGACTATCACAACAAAGCTAGCTACGCAAGATAAGCAACACGTCGAACTGCTGCTGAAGCTGAGCTGCGAGAAGGTTCACGGTGTTATGCTCGAATTTCCACACGTGCTTCCCGCTACATTTACGCCCGTACTGAAGAGTTTACAACATATGCAGCGCCTGAATCGGATGCCTTTTCAAGAGTGGATCTTGCCACCTCGTGTTGAACAAACTGGAAACGCACTCAAAATTCCTCCGCCATTGTACGCTCGGCATGCTGGATTCGAATTCCCTCTCGATGCCGTTCTCGGTCATGGCTCGAGTGCCATGTCACTGCCTTCTATGTCAACGGATCAGGATCTCACTCTGATGGCAGAGTTGGAGACCAAGACGGGGCTTGATCGTGGACAATGTTCGGCGTTGATCGCTGCGCTCACCCGAGAATTTGCCCTCATTCAAGGTCCTCCCGGGACTGGAAAGTCTTACGTTGGAGTGAAGATCATGCAAATTCTCCAGAGCGTAAAAGCGAGGGCCAATCTAGGTCCAATTATTGTTGTGTAAGTGTTGCATCTGCGTGCAGCACAGTCGTAGGTTGAGAACATATTGAAGAAAATGAACTAACAGCAATTCTCAGGTGTTACACGAACCATGCCCTGGACCAGTTCCTTGAGCATCTCATAGCTACAGGGATTCGCAAGATCGTTCGGATCGGAGGACAGAGCCGATCAGAAATGTTGGAGGGTCATAACCTCAGGAACGTTACAAAGTCCGAGTCGAAAAGTAGACAGGAAGGCTGGCAAGTTGCTAGTGCTTACCGCGCGCTAGAGGAACACGAAAATCGGTCGGGGCGCATTTTGGGACGAGTACACGGTGTCAGAAAGCGACCGGAATGGAGAGCTTTCCAACATCACCTCGCCCGAAAGCATCGACGCATATGCGAGCAATTCAACACTGTGGATGTTGATGGCTTCAACGCTGTTGGGCGACATCCTTTCGAAATATGGACATCTGGCATCAAGCAGGAGGACGACGCGATTACGACAAGAGCGCCATCGGCCAGAGCTGTGGATCGAACCACTATCGTCGAGAAGGCAAACCGGAATGTCCAGGCGCTCTCGTATTCCGAGAGACAGGCACTTGTTGGGATTTGGACACAAGAAATTCAAGAAGACGCAGCGGCTGAATTCTTCGAGGTTGTTGAGGATGCAGAACAGAGCCAACGCCAGCTCTCGAATGTCCATGAGGAGGTGAACCGACGTGTCCTGCAAAGTTCGGACGTGATCGGTATCACGACCAGCGGCCTTGCCAAGAACTCCTCGACTATACGACGTGTACGGTCCAAGGTTGTCATATGTGAGGAAGCTGGTGAGGTAATGGAGCCGCACGTCATGTCAGCATTACTGCCTTCCGTGGAACATTTTATCCAAATCGGCGACCACCAACAGCTGCGACCGTCGATCAATAACTTTCTCGACTTGTCCCTCGAAAGCGACCGCGGTAAGCTGCATCAGCTGGATCGGAGCCAGTTTGAACGACTCTCGGTCGGCGAGCCCGGGAGACCGTCTATCCCTCTTGCTCAGCTGAACGTCCAGAGGCGCATGCGCCCTGAAATCTCTACATTGATTCGAGAGACAATCTACAAACGACTGGATGATCACCCAAGCACAATACAGCTGCCCAATGTCGTCGGCATGCGCAAGAACGTGTTTTGGCTTGACCACAACAACATGGAAGATGACGGTGGCGACAGCATGAACCACCATAAGAAATCAAAGTCTAATGGGTGGGAACTCCAGATGGTACATGCTCTGGTACGCCATGTAGTTCGACAGGGCGTCTACTCTACTAGCGACATCGCTGTATTGACCCCGTATACTGGTCAGCTCCAGAGGTTACGCGCAGCGATGCGCCAAGACTTTGAGATTGTCTTAAGCGATCGAGACGAAGAAGCTCTGATAAAAGACAGGTTCACTGCTCAAGACTCAATCATGGAAGAAGCCACTGCCGAGCAGAACAGCAAGAAAAAACCGCTGGAGAAAAAGCAACTTAGCGAGCTTCTCCGCATCGCCACCGTTGATAACTTCCAAGGCGAGGAGGCCAAGATCATCATTATCTCTCTCGTTCGAAGCAACAAATCCCGAAGAGTGGGCTTCCTCAAAACCACGAATCGCATCAACGTCCTTCTCAGCCGGGCACAGCATGGAATGTACCTCGTCGGCAACATCGATACGTACTCATGCGTACCGATGTGGCAAAAAGTCATCGATATGCTTCGTGCTCAAGATTGTGTCGGCCCGTCTTTGGGGCTATGCTGTCCTCGACACGTAGACACAGCGATCCAGGTGCAGCAGCCAGACGACTTTCAGAGGTGCAGCCCGGAAGGTGGTTGCCAGGAACCTTGTAAGGACCGCCTCCCGGAATGTGGACACCGATGTCAAGCAAAATGTCACTCTCGCACGATGCATGAAGTCTTTCAGTGCGAACAGCCCTGTCAACGCCGACATCAACTTTGCAACCATGCCTGCCAGAAGCCCACTTGCGGCGAGCCTTGCGGCAGATGTGTCGTCCCTGTGGATGACGTGCACCTCGAATGCGGCCATACCAAGGACAGTGTCTCGTGCTTCCGCACACAAGATCTTAGCTCCATCAAATGCGATGCCGTAGTCACGAAGACAGTACCTGGCTGTGGACACCAGGTGGTGGCACGCTGCCACGAAGATGTGCACAGCGAAACATATAGATGCTCCACCCCATGCGGCGCACCCCTTCGCTGTGGCCATACTTGTCCGGGCACATGTGGCTTTTGCAACCGCAAAACTCTCGAAGGAAATGTAACCGTGGAACATCATAAATGTACCAGGGTGTGTGGTCGGCATTTCGGAACGTGCGACCATACCTGTCCCAAACGGTGTCATGATGGGTCGGACTGTGGGCTCTGCACATCCAAGTGCGAGGTGAGTTCTTTGTCCGTCTTCATAATGCTCCTTTCTAATACTCATCCAAGGTCGCATGTAAACACTCTCGGTGCGACCTCAAATGCCACGAAGCGTGTGCCCCGTGTATCGAGCCGTGCACATGGTCGTGTTCACATCAGGGAGCGTGTACGATGCCATGCTCCGCACCCTGCAACCGCCTTCCGTGTGATGAGCGCTGCACTCGGTCACTCCCTTGTGGCCATCAATGCCCTGGATTATGCAGCGAAGACTGTCTCTCCGCATTTTGCCAAGCATGCGAAATGAAACTCGATGCTCACGTCGACATGATCGAATTCAAAGAGTATGCAAAAATCAATCTCGAGGAGACTCCTGTCGTTGCTCTTAGCTGTGGGCATTTCTTCACCACAGAGACTTTGGACGGTACGTATGGCCGTGGCCCAGATCTTGTTCACGTTTGAACCAAGATACTCAAAGATGCAGCGGACACGCTGTTTCTGGATCTTGCTAATATGTTCGCTCTATCATGCAGGACTAATCGGACTAAACAACGTCTACGAGATCGGCCCAAACGGTAACGTCATCGGTCTGGGAGATACTTCGTCCAAGTTGTCACCAGCAATTCCGAAGTGTCCGCATTGCCAGCGACCGATCCAGCAATACACAACACATCGATACAACCGCTTGATCAACCGGGCTGTGGTCGATGAGATGTCCAAGCGGTTCATCGTCACAGGCCAGACAGCAGTACAAGAGATAGAGCGGAGACTTATCGAGATAGAAACGATCCTGCAAGCCTCTCGTCAAGATGTCTTCCGAGAGAATCTGGGCCCCACTCTAGTTGGCATACGTCAGCGAGGTATCGGAGAAGTCGCTCAGAAGCTTGTAACACGGTATACGCCAGCCTTGAAGCTTCGCTCTGACATCGGAAAACTACAGATGCGCACGGCAAAGCACCACCAACCTGCACACAAACTCCACGACGCTACTATCCATGCAATAGGACGAAGTAGCGGTCTCGAGAGTGCATTTGGAGGTCTCAGGCTTGAGCACATCCCAGTCGTCAGCGAGCGCGATGACCGCATTGCACTCAGGTTGAATATGATGCGAGTCAGGACGGATGGCGTGATCCTGGAAGACAAGCTGCGTATCGTACCGGTGGTGAGAGCTGAGTACGGCGATTCAGCTTCCTCTTTAGCATTGTTCGAACGCTCTCTGGCTCAAGCCTTTTTCCAATCTTGTGGGAAGCTCATCGCCGAGTGCAAGGACAAGGCCCTGAAGAGGATAGCGATGGAGCTGTCACTCCTCTACGCGCAACTAATCTGTGCAGTCGACACAGCTGGACTTCGCGAGCCGGAAGACGGCGAAATGGCCAGCAGGGAACGGGACAACGCTAGGAATCTGCTCGAGGAAGCAACGATACTATGCGAGCACGGATTCCACGATGCAGAGACTCTGCTAGAAGCAGTCAACCAGTCCTTGAAGCTTCTGCGAAAGGAATGGTATGCGAAGGTCACAGACCAGGAGCTTGAAGCGATCAAGTAAGCGATGGTGAGCGGGTCGAAAGGAATCGCAACCCACTCCGGCTACTGGTATAATTGCGCTAATGGCCATCCGGTACGTCTTGTCTTTGGAATGTGTTGTATGCATGCTGACTGGCAGTGGATAGTTTGCTATTGGGGAGTGTGGGATGCCGATGGAAGTTGCACGCTGTCCGGAGTGTGGTGCGAATATTGGCGGACAGCAACATGTAGCTGTGCAGGGTGACTTGATACATAGCCTCAGGCTTCTGGCTTGGCATTCACTTAAGCCATTCACCTACCTGCACCTTTCCTATAGATTCTCGTCCTTTCTTGATAGACACACAATTAATCAACACACACTTGATTCCATCAACTGGTTATAAGCTCTCTGCGCTGACCTGCGCACTTCCGCACTGAACAACTCAACCGCGACAAACTGCGACACTGAACCGACTCGAGATGTCGGCCAAATTCAAAGGCACTGAGACGCCCTTAGGCGGCATGAAGCTGCTAAAAGGCGAATCAAACTACGCTACCTGGTACATTGACATTAAGGCTCTACTACGCCGCAACAGCCTCTGGAAATAAGAACGACAGCGAGAAGGTACCTTCACTCTCTCACTACGCTGAGGCACACGGAATGGAACTGGACAGATACATGACTCCACACAACACGTTCTGAACTCGACACCGTTCTGAACTCGACACCTTTCTGAACTCGACACCTTTCTAAACTCGACACCTTATTGAACCACTGAACCTTGAACATCACCAGCAGGGAGCTGGGGTGCTGAAATAAAGTCCTACCGCAGCGGAATGCTATAATGTGGAGGCATTGAATTGAACTGAAATCCTACCGCAGCGGAATGCTATAATGTGGAGGTATTGAACCACTGAACCTTGAACACCACCAGCAGGAAGCTGGGGGTGCTGAACCGAACCTTGAACACCACCAGCAGGAAGCTGGGGGTGCTGAACTGAACAACACCCTGATCTATGTGATCATTGGCAGGTAACGCGCTTGATAAGCGTTTACCTGGGGGGTGACTTGATACATAGCCTTAGGCTTCTGGCTTGGCATTCACTCAAGCCATTCACCTACCTGCACCTTTCCTATAGATTCTCGTCCTTTCTTGATAGACACACAATCAATCAACACACACTTGATTCCATCAACTGGGTGTGACTCGGGCGGCGCGAATGGAGCAATGAGGTTTCGTATCTATTGCGTCGGCAAGCTTCTGGGTGGATGGATGGATGGATGGAGTTTATTCCGCCTAGCGCTAAGCACCTAAAGGGCTCAGTACGAATATTACGTCATCACATTACCTCCCGAAAACTTCCTGAGCTCCAAATAGCCCATTTACTTTGTCCTATCTCAGTCTGTCCTCCCGGTCCTCCCGTCCTACGTTGCCGGAAGCTCGTACTAGATTAGTGTTTTATAATGGAATCTGTGCTGATAGACCAGAGGAAGCTGAGTCCCTAATCGTGACCAAGCATGGGAGGTTTTTCCCCTGCACGGACCGATTCATGCCACAATATTAGCACCTCGAGGTGAACATCCCTTTCTCGGTAGAGAGCCACGTTACGAAGCGAGCCAACATGCAGAATGGGACAGCGCACGTTTTTGGCAACTAACTTGTGCGTCAGATGATCACGTAGCGCTAATCTGCACCACTCTCTTCCTCCGCTGCCACGAGCGTTACAAGTGATGAATGGTGGTGATCGTGCTATCGTGTGATGTACTGTGTGGTGCCAATGGAAAGGATATATGCAAAAGCGTATCAGAAAGTGAGGATCCAGCTGGTGAGAACAAAGCGTTGATACAGCCTCTATCTCGTGGAGCAGCTATCGAGTGTTCTAGCAGTCTCGGTTGAACCCTAGTGAGAAGCTCCGCCACTACCCGCAAGCTACGAAACAACGCTGTAATACGCGTTCTCGGTCCCGTGGCTATGATATGAGCAACCAGCCAGCTGTGATCGAGTCCGATCAGCCCTAGTTACGAAGTCTCCGCGATCTTGCAGAAGTTCTTTGGCGAGGTCTCTAAAGAAATCGGTGTTGGTCGCTCCATCCAACCACTCTGCACGTCCGTGGAAGAAATGCATGTCGACTAGCAGCTTTTGAAGAGGCGAACTCTCCGGAGTGCCTCTGTATGCCCTATCGATAGTGGCAGACTCCGGATACCATCGCGTGTCTTGCTCGTCAGGCGTGTCGACTGCATGGATGAGAGAGTCGATAATAGCGTCCTTGAAATCATGATGCTGAAGAGCCTCGCCCCGTACGAAGGCCTCGACGAGGAGGTCGATTTCCTCTCGGTTGCCTTCAGTGTCGCTCATATCTCGGACGCTAAATATGCGACCCCTGTACAGCCACTGGACGTAGAGTGCAAATGCAGCTGGATCGTCGTTTGGAAGCGGAACTAGTCCTTCCTGGCCTTCATTCCAGCAGTCTTTTGCGGCCGCGGAGAAATAAGGCGACTTCTGACACAGCAAATCTTTGTGCACAGTCCGCTTCTTATATCGTTAATAGGATGGCCGATGTCTATAATTTCCCCTGCAGATGAGCGCTACGAACTGGCTCTGGACTTACGCACCTAGACATAGGAGATACCTATATATATTACTTTGTTAATATTCCGAATCTATACCTTAGTTATCTCGACTAGGTTAGTTAAGGTAAAAATCCTAAGCTATAATAATATAAAGTAGCGTATAGCTATATAGGAACCTAACTATATTTCTCGTACTTATACTTTATAGGATTCTATTTCGATATATATAGCTATAAATCTGCGTAGAAAGCGTATATTCTTAGATACTTTCGATCTATTATAAAGCAAAAGTCTAGAAAGG